TGTGGCATCACATCACAGACTGAAGACTAAATATGCATTATTTGTTGGCTTTCTCATTTCCTCAATTATATCTGGCCAGCTATAGGGGGACAGCGAAGCTTCAGTCCACACAGCTCCATCCTGATTTGGCCTGTGTCCACCAAATCGTGTGGCACAGTAGCACTGCCTATTCCTGGCCCCCATGTCAGTCTCCTCTGGAACATGTGCACCCTAAATGAGATGGGGTGCTCTGGGCATAGGACACAGTAAGTCAGGCTTTTCTTTGGAAAGGAGGTTCAGTTTACTCATTAATTTTGGAAAAGAAAAAAAAAAAAAAACAAGGAACAACTATTCAACCATTATATTTCCTTAAAACCATTCCCCCATAGCATTATCAATCTATATGCTCAAAAGTCCATGGTCCTACATGCTGTTAAACACAAGTGAAAGGAATGAGACATGTTCGCAGGCTCTTTGTAAAAATATTGCATTGGGAAACGCCGAGATAATCTACAATTATATCTTGTAAAGCAATTTCATTCATTCAGGAAATACATGATCAAGTCTCTCACTTAAAGGCAAGTGCCTGGGTGTGGAAGCGACATCCTGTAACTCAACTGACCTTACTAAGATGTGGACTTTTTTGGCTATGAGGCCTGGCTAACAAAAAAGTGTAAGCCCAGTTGACTTTACATAATGAGCTTTTCTTTTACAAGCTTATAACTAACTCTTTGGTGATTTGCGGGAGCTGAGTCTCCCAGGCATGTCTTGTGTACTGAGTACCCACAAAGGAAATTAGGTTATAAAACAGTGCCGACCATGGTCAGCTCTATACAGGGAGGGAGCACTGAGTAAAATGCACGTGAGAGAAAACTCAGGACAATTTGTGGTTGGAAAGAGACCGAGACAGTAAAAACTCAGAGTTGATTTAGAAGTTAGAGATTAAAAGTTCAATGGCCTGCATAAATTCTGGGGCCAGTTTCTGTTAAATTACTGCTTGGGGGGAGTCCTTTAACCTTGATTGCACTATGCCATAGGGCTACATCCTTGTGCATAGTCAAACCTTTCTTTGGTGGCTGCTAAATGCGTAAAGACTTGCTCGGCTCTGGAGCCAAGACTTGTGTCTTACTCCCAAAGATGTCCAAGAGAGGAGCTGAGTGCATGGGCACAGATGAGGGGTCTCAAGGATTCCCCTAAGTGCAGGTCCTCAAGCTGGACAGTCCAATCCCTTGCAGCGGTTCATATAGGAAGAGTCTCAGCAATCAAGTTCACACTGGAAAATGCAGAGAAGTTCCTCCAGAAAAATTGGACAGACTCTCTACTCCTCCTACTTTCCCGCCATGTCCTTTGAGATCTGCAAGTCAGATCTGCAAGTCTGCAAGGATAATCCTACCAGGGGGCTCTATGGACAAAAGTAACAAATTGCTGGGGAAATGAAGGTCTAAGCAAGAAAAAACTGAAGATGACAGAGCAATGTTGTAAAGTTATCGTATCATTTATGCTGCTTCTCTGCACAGATATTACCTGAGAACTTGCACATTTGTTCTTTGAGACAATAAAGATTGCACATTTTGGCGCCACTTTGCAATTTATAAAATCTGCAAAAGCATTTTGTTTCATAGCAGTGTTAAGGCAGGGAAACAGGACATTTCCTTGCAGACAAAGAAACTGAGGCCCAAGTTGATACAATTTGCCTGACTCTCACCACTAGTGAGTGGCAGATCCAGAAATTAAAACTAATTCTTTTGATCTCAGAGCCTATACAGTTTCCACTAAAAACAAACAACAACAAAAAAACAATTTTAAGGTCTTAAAAAAGGTTTCAAAAAAGAATAAGCATGTATGCCATATATAGCATGTATATTCCATATTCCATATATATATATATATATATATATATATATGAAATACAAGCTTATTCTTGAAAAAACTTTAAGGCAAATAAGCAACTCAAATTTAAAAATAAAATTATAAACTTCCATTTGTAAGGTACAACAACATAGCTTTTAACTGACATTATTGGCAAAAAAGGTTTTCTGGATGAGGCCCCTAAGTTTTTTTATATTAAATGTTTCAGAAGAAAAAAATAACCACATACACACGTCCCCATTAAACAGAACACAAAAAACAAAATTTATGCTTTTAAAAATGACTTGCTGTCTCCGGACCCAGTCGCCACTGTGCTGTTACAGCAAGCCCTGGAGCCGGGAGCTGAGGCCTGGAAGCCTTGCTCTGATAAACTCAAGAGTCAGACCCGTGTTGCTTTGCTTCTGCCCCCGGATCTTGGAGGTCCTTTCGGTTTGACAGATGCCCCTCATCTCATCTCCCTCTACCTGCTCTGCTCAGAATTATCTGCCTTTATATCTTGGTGCTTCAAGTTATCAAGGGAAAATAGAGAACAAACTTAGCAAAAGATTCAACTATAAAACAGACATGGACGTTGTCTATGTGAGTGTGCACAGTCACACGCACACACACCTAAGGGTGTCGCCTGTGTCTTCTTCATGCCTCCGTTGCTGCCTATATCATCAGGCAGGCATGAAGAAAATGATAGTTTTCATGAACTTGAGAACCGATAAGGAAAATGGAAAGAAGAGCTTGTGAGGTTTGGATTAAGAGACTTGCAGTGGATTCCAGGTTTGGAATCAAATTCTTGCAATGGGATTAAGTTTCCTCTTATTCTGAACAGATTAGTTGACTGGGTCTGATCCCAAATGTTTTCATCTGTAAAGGGGAATAAGTAACACTTCTGGGTGTAATTTGACAAATGAATGCTTCACACTATAGGAAGTACTCTAAAAGTTATTTCTTATTAAATCCAAAAGTTATGATACAAAGATAGCTATCCTCTCACTCACACACACCCTCTCACACAAGAACAGTAAGACAGAGAACAAACTAAAAAGCCAACGAATAGGTCTTACTTTCATCAACTTTAAAATTTTAATTTATAACCTTGTCTCATGTGGGTGACTGCTAAAATTTGAATTTCCAAATAAACAGGGAATAAGTTATAGTAAGAAAAGTCTTAAAAGGCATGCATCAAGCTTCACTAACAACTGATCAGCTTTTCCACAATGGAGAAAAATGTACATTTAGAATTTTTCATATTTATTCATATCTTAGTAACAAACACTATTATTTCCTCATTTACTTCCATAGAAGCTGCTTAAAATGTAAAAGTTAATTAAAATTGCTAGAAAATTCTTTGCTGCAGCAGTAGAGAAAAGCAGATTCTAGAAGTAGCTAACACGGGGGTTCTGATGCAACAGTGGGTCCAGAAATAGGGGAATGGAGAGCCTTCCCTGTCTACCCCAGAATGCCCCTCTCTACAGTGCTTCATTTTCACACACCACCTTACTCTGTTCACCAGTTCATGGGCCTAGGTGGGGAGGGCTTACATTGGAAGCTGAAAGGTGGTTATTAGGAAAGTGCCAGAGATTAATTTCACCTATCAATCTCCTACTGACTAAAGGGAAGGGGAGGGGGGTTGAAAAATAATAATGATTTTAATACTGCACAAATAAATTTTTCTCATTTGCTGGAAATTGACTTTCTATAAAAGAATTCACTTTACATGGTTCACGTTGGCAAACAGCCAGGACACGCCTCTCAACCACTGCTTCTCCGGGGCCCAGCGACTGGCTCAGAGGGGCCTGTGAGCTAGGTCTGGCCTAAGGATAGTCCACGGAGCTTTATCAGGACAAAAAAAATCTCTTCTTAAGGGATACCCGGGAGCTGGCTCATCACCACAAGAGAATCCGCGTGAGAACAGAGCAAGGTCAAACGATGGGGAAGAGGGACTGTGTTCTAACCACCTGGCTGAAGCCCTCGGCTGCCTGGAGGCCAAGTCCACGCTAGACATTCTGGGTCTGCGTGCACCAATGGGCTGCACGGGCATAAAAGCCAGTTCGTGTTGAAGTCTCTGTCACTCGCGACTGAGACCCATGTCCTGAGAAAGATGAATTCCTATGATCCACTCAATATGGACTTTGGGGACTATTAAATAATGGAAAGGTAAATAATGCAAAATCACCTAATATCAGTGAAATAGTGCGACATCAATCCCAGAATCCAAGAAGTAATTATTTGCTCAGCTTTTTCATCCCAGAACTAAGGGCACTGTCTTGCCATCTCCAGCAAAACGGACATGAAATGTTTGAGCCTTTATGCTCAAGTCTTGGAAGCACCGATTCATCTCTTAGAAAACTGCCCTGAGAGGTAAACCTGCGGGCATCTTAATGTTGAATTTCTTACTGAACATTAAGTGTCAATGACACAATAAGACTTCTCCTAATAGCAACAAGTCTACACTTTCACCAGTCATAGTATTCAGCTTCAATAAAACCATCTGGCCCAAGTCTGCTGTTAATTAATTGCTGAGAGAGGGAGATGGAAAGCAGAAACAAACTAGACTGTTCCTCCTGGGGACGTGCAGTTACTTGGACAGAAGCAAAAGTGAGCCTAAGAGAGAATCTCACATTTTTCATTTAATGACTCATTTGCACATCCTCAGTCAGAACAAAGGTTGAACTCAAAGTCAACCCTGGTGTCTAAAGCAGTTGTTAAATAAAATGCATGGCACACAACTTCAATCAAAGCCGTGAACCTGATTATCAATATTCTATTTGCCCCAAACATGTATATTTATACAGCAACACAGAAAATGTAGCAATGGTGTATTCCGTATGTGCCTGGTGAAATGCTTTTCCAAATCATGCAAATTTATGAGGACAGAATGATTTTTTTCTCAGTCTCACTGAAAAACAGACAAACAGCAACAACAAACCCCCCTTCATCAGTTGATCTCAGTTCACAATTTCACATTTTGCCCATTCAATACTTCTCAGTGAAAGAGCTCCAGACAGTAGTTTTAGGTAAGGCATGATTACTGTTTGTCACTAACAGATGACATAAAAAAATAGCTTTAAGGAATTTTGCAATAATGCTATAGAGTTAACTGTGCAACTACATACTATGAAAAAAAAATGTGTAAAAGGAACACCCACATGAACATTTACCTTCCACTGCTCTTTTGAAGAACACTTTGCAGCTGCCACAGGTTACCACCCCATAATGACATCCTGAAGCCTCATCCCCACACACCAAACATATTTTGGAAGGTCTTGAGGATCCAGTAGAAACACTTCGTAAAGTAGAGCTGGGGAAAGAAATCAAGATTTAAGTAACTACACTGTGAAGGTACATTTGACACGCTGTTCAGCTTAGCTCAAAACATCATAATCACGGTCCCATAAATGAAAACCAGTTTCGTCTGTATGGTCACATATTACGGTGGCTTAGAGAATGAAGGTTCAAACTCCCCCAGTGGAAAAATGCTATCAAGGATTCTGTGCAGCAAAGTCTCTTCTCAGTACAGAGAAACTGAGAAACAGGTAACCACATGTAAACTTTATTCTGCCTTTTCTAGTATTGAGAAATTTTACCAAAGGGAAAAAATTTTTTTTTTTTCTTTTACATTCTAGGTGGGCAGCGAGTAGCAGAATCCTGAGTCGAGTCATCGGGGAAGTATTTTTGGCATCAAAAACTATTAAAATACTTCTCAACTCTCTTCACCTGGACTCAGATTATATGTCTCAATTATGCCAGATTAAAAATCTTCCCTTTCCAAAACAATCCACTAATAAACAATTTAAAAAATTCTTGTCTTGTCTCGACTGCCAGCAATTTTACCCCTCCAAGCTCCTGCATTTTTTGTTACCTTATACAGGTTTGCTCAAAGCACTTCATTCTGTGCCTGCTCATTGGAAAATTTCTAGGCAACCAGCTTTAGGGACAAGTGCAGCCCTTCAAACAACAGTCTTGAAGAAACGTTCTAAGGGGCCTCCCCAGTGGCGCAGTGGTTGAGGGCTGGGCTGCGAAGCTGCTTGCACAGCCTCTGCAGCGCTGCTTCGATCCCCGGCCGCCAGGTGAGGGTCCCACACAGCGCGCAGACCTCTCCTGCCGCCCGCTGCTCCCCTCAGCAGTGTACTTCGGTCCTTCTGCCTGCTCTGCTCCCCGCTCTGGCTCTGGTGAATTCTCTCACCCTCCTGTGCTTCTGACTGTACCCAGTGCTTGTATAAATAAATTAATTCATTAAAAAAAAGAAACATTCTAAGAAGATGCTTCTCAAGATCTCTCTCACCATCTCTGTTAGTGGCACATTCTGAACAAAATGCTTTACATTCTAATAAAGAATCGTAGTTCGGCGACAGATGTGTACCCACAGCAAAGAGCTTGACTTTCTGCACCCACGATCCGCAGACATTTAGTGAGTGTTCACCTGCAGGTGCTGTGTGGGGTCCTGAAGAGATAGTGATGAGACCCCAACCTCTGACCCTGCCCTGGGGGCACCTGAACGCTCCTGCTTAGTGATGATGGCGGCGTGGGCTCAGCCCTCCTGGCTGGGAAGGTGGGGACACCCCAGTGAGAGAGCAGGGCCCAAAGGGTGACATTGGAGTGAGTTTTGGATCCTGCGCAGGTGACAGAGGAAGCAGAGTGTGCAGTGGCTCAGAGAAATGCTGGAGGGGCTGGGAAGACCAGCTGGGTGGACAGCGCCTGGCTGTCCCGGCTCCTGTCGCCCTGAGAAGCAGCAGACGCAGGGGCCCGCTCAGGGGCAGAGGGAAAGGGTGGGGTGGACACGTGCAGGCGATGATCTGTTTTTCAAATTAGCTACCCCGAGGTCATATTGCTTAGGTAATTAAAAAATGGTTTTAAACGCTTTAACGACTCTCACTGAAAGGAGATGAAGGAAGGACTCAGTTGCCCAGAGCACTGTGGCATGACAGACTTTCTAGAAAATGACTTCTCAAACCCGGGACTGAAACCAAGCCTCCAGCATTGTTTCTGCTTCTGAGAAAAGTGCCTTTTACTGATTTTACTGTGTCCTTTGACTTCTTTATGGCATTCAAAACATTCCATTTCGGCATCAGTGACTTCTTCAGTGTATTAGCCAGTAAAGCTCGGTCCACATTCCATCCAACTCTCTTCCACGTCACAGGGAAATGCCACGACTTTGTCAACATTTAGAACATAACCGAGTATCAGCATGAGGATGCAACTGCTCTCTCACCGCCGGACGCGTGCATGGATGGTATTCACCGCCTGAAACTTAGGGGCCTTTCAGCTTTAGTCACTAGACTTCTCCTTTTCTAGCCAAACTCACTTTCTTGGGGATGGCAAGTCTTGTGTCTAAGTACCACCCAAATGTGGGGGGTATCCAAGTGTTTATCTCCAGCCCACAGCCCTCCCCAGAATTTGAGACTCACTTTACCAACCGCCCACAGGATGCTCCCTGAACAGGGCTGCTCTGCCCCTAACTTTCCACCTAAGTTAGTGGCAGCTGTCACAGGCTGAATTGTGTCCTATCCCCCAATTCCCACGTTGAAATCCCAGTCCTGAGAACCCCAGAATGTGCCTTATTTGGGAATCGGTTCTGAGCAATGATATTAGAGAAGATGACTGTGGAGTAGGGGGGGCCCCTCATCCAATGGGACTGGTGTCCTCATTTAAAAGAGGAGATGGGGGCCTCCATGTTTGCGCAGGCGGCTGAGCGCAGTGCTGTGAAGCTGTCTGCAGTCTCTGCAGTGCCGGTTTGATCTCTACCAACCGCGAAGATACCCACATGGTGCGGTAGACCTCTCCTGTCTCACCCGCTGTTCCCCTCAGCAGTGTATTTCATCAGTCTGCCTGTTCTGTTCCCTGCTCTGTCTCTGGTGAATCCTCTCATCCTCCTGTGCATCTGGCCTGTACCCCGGTTCTAGTATAATATAAAAGGGGAGATGGATACAGACACATGGGGAGAGGACACGTGAGGATGAAGGCAGAGATGAAGGCAGCGATGTTTTCACAAGCCAAGCAATGCCCAGGGTTGCCAGACTTCCAGAGATGGGAGAGATGCATAGGGCAGCTTCTCTCTCAGTCTTCAGGAGGATCTGCTCACAATGTAACCTTGAAGCTCTACCCTCCGGAAATGTGGGGTGATAAATCCCTACAGTTCAAGTCTCCCTGGTTATGGTGCTGTGTTATGGCAGCCCCAGCAAACGCAGAGTGCCTTGGATTGCACCCTGAAGCCTTTCTTTCCTCACACCACACACCCTATCTGTCCAATGAGATTCACTTCACTCTCACCACAGAGCCATGATTTGACCACTTCCCATAACCTCTGCAGGACTCTTCTCCAACCCGTCAACACCACTTCCCCGAGACTGAAAAAAGCCTCCTACTTGCGCTTCCTCTGCTTGCTCCTTTCCTTCCCCTGTAGCCAGGATGATCCTCACTCACTCCTTTGCTCAAAGCCGTCCAACAGCTTTCCTTCACACTTAGAGCAAAGTCAAGGTCATCCCTGTAGCCACAGGATGGCAGTCTGGTTCCTGACATGTCTCTAACCTGATGCCTTATCTTCTCTGCTTCAGCAACACTGACCTCAGACACACCAGGGTGCTCCTACCCCAGGGCCTTTACACTTGCTGCTTGGTCTTCCCCCTCACATCTAACCCTCCCCCCCCCCCCGCGCCTCCTTAAATGCCACTCTCCTAGATACACACCCCTGACTGCTCTACTGACAAGTCTCTTTCCTCAGCGCCCTTGTCTCCTTTCTGCCTTATTTTTCTTCATAGCACCTATCATGTCTAACGTGTTGTCTAGTTTACTTTTTTACTCTGTTACTTAACGGCTCAACCACCCAAGAAAGGAAGCTCAACAGAGCCCAAGACTTTCTCCTGTGTGACTCGCACTGTTACCCAAGAGCTTGGACTTGTCCCAGCCACACCGCAGGCTCCCAACTGCGCAAGTGGTAGCCTTCTCAGGAGAACCATCATGGCCAGCTTTGAAGCCCTACTGCCTCCTACAAAGGGAGGCGATGTGTTTTTGACTGTCTGAAGGATGATAAAGGCCACAGAGGCACTAAGTTCAGAGAAGGTGAAGAGAAAGTCTAGCATAAAAAAGGAAGTACTGTGCAGCCCAGATTTAAACAACCACGGTTCAATTACACAGTTAAGGCAAGCAAATGATTTTCCCTTCTGTTCACTAGCATCTTTCCATGACAAAACTGCCAAGCGGTCTCCAGGAGCCTCTCTGTAGCTCTCGGCCTCTTCAGTTTCTGTAAAGCTGTGCTGAGCTTGTTATCCTAAGGACAACTTCTCTATTTCGGGCAAGTTCTTATTTTCTTGACTGTCAGTTTTCTTCAGAGTCGCTGGTTCTTAGCCATCTTTACTCCTTTTTCTATATTCTACCTTTCAACAACCTCATCCACTGGCCTGGCCCAAGCAGCTTTCGGGTGACCGGCTTATCAACACTTCACATCCAGCTCCAACCTCTCCATCTTCCAAGTTTGTGTCTTCCTTCCCTATACAGAACTGCCCTTTGTTCTATTAGCTTCTGGAAGGGGATTGCCATCTGCTTATCATTCAGCTTCAAACCTTACCTGTCAAGTCTAATCCACTACCAAGTCTTGCTCCTTCCTGCCTGGCATGCTCTCGCCTCCCTTCTCCTCACCCTGCTGTTGGGACTCTTCTTCAGTCCCTTGTGAGTCCCTGAGGGTTCTCCCTGACTCCAGAGTCTCCTACCTCCAGTTCATTCTGCAGTGGGTGACAAATGAACTTTGCTGAGAAAGAGGCCTAACTGTTCTACTTCCTAGTTCATTAATCTCTGAGTGTCCCTCCCCAATGCCACCATAAATGGTAACCTTAGTAGAACAGGTCACTTAAGTGGTACTCCCTATTCACCCCTCCCCTGCAGGTGCTCACACTTCCCAGCCTCAGGAGTCCCACCCCACACCCCTGCGCAGGGCTGTGGACGCCACCATTAAGCAGCCAGCACTGCTCTCCCCACCTCCACTCCTGGCCACGCTGCCCATCCTTTGAGGGCCCCTGATGTTCACCCAGCAGGAAGGACCACTCCTGATTGATTTCAGCATTTTGCTAACCCCTCTCTGCAGCAGTCATCACTTTTAACTGGATATTAGTGACCTGTGCACACATCCTAGAGGCCCTGAGGGCAAAATCCTTGTCCTATACATCTCTGTGCTCCCGGCTGCCATTAGAATAGAGCTGGTTCTATTTATTGAACGAATGAAATTGCACTCCTAATCTCATTATAGTAGAACATAAATTTCCAAAAGGCGATTTTACAGAAACTAAATTAATGAGGCCAAGGTTATTG